TTTACCGTAAACGCCAAGGGTCCTTTTTTTAGTATTATGGTCAACTGTTTGTTAGCATAAGGGGCGTAATGGATTTGTGGTCAAAACAAGATGATCCAAATTAGATCCGCTTTTTTATAGATAATGAAGAAAAGTACCAAGATCTACATGATCTAGGAACGATTATTAACTCTAAACTTTCGTGGGATGCTAATACAGATTATAATTTACAATAATGGCCACCAAAGACTTTATTTTTTTTACGCTTAGGATATTGTTATAATTACACTGTTATGTCCTTGTTTTGTATAAGCTTCATAACTTAATAATTCAATATTTCATGGAATGACTCTGACCTTGGCGAGGATCTTTTTTGCAACAAGTGATTCCCTATGTAAAGTGTATGTTGAATGACCCTGGCTTTGTTGTCAAATAATTGTTTGACAGTTGTTAAATATGGGGTTATGTTTTATCTCTGAATGTTTGGGATGAAATATTTTAATAAGGACAGTTCTAAGTTGGAAACTCAACGGGGGCCTTTTCAATTGAATTCAATGTACAGCATGTACAGTTTGGACATTTCTGTAATGTGAATGCTACTTATGTTTGCAGAATGTCTGGATGAATGAATGAGTCAGTCATCTGCACAGCATCAATGGAAAAAGGGAAGCAATGAGGAACAAGAGAAGAGTAGCAGTGAGTGGTAAATATTTGAAATTATGTTTGGTTCATCATGTTCATGTAGCTATTCTGCAAAAAATTCTTCAGTTTGCTTGTTCTTTATCACCTGTTGGCATGGATGGCCTAATTATCAAAGGCACCACAACTTGCTGTGCGTAGTTGCATCTCTTGGGCTTGACAGAAACCGATGGTCGTGGGTTTGAATCCAGGGTAGCATCATACACTTGCTTGTGGGTTTCATCAAAGTGGTAAACATGTAAGACCTGCATCACTTCGGGCTTTCTTCCCACATCAAGCTTACATGCCGTGATATAACTGGAATACTGTTCAAAGAGGCGTTAAACCCAATTCACTCATTTAACACCACATCCAGCAATAGTTCGGCTAAATGACAAGGATTATAAATTAATCAAATCTCAACTAGACAAACCAGAGATTAATGTTATGAGCTCAAACCAGACGCACCGATGATGACTGTTATGGACAACATCCCACGTTATTGGGTACGATTACGAGCTTTCAATGAGCCCACTTGCTACCTCATCTATTACTTTGGCTTGTATGGCAAGCATAGGTTGCTAGGAACATTTTTAAGAGATGTCAGTTAATGATTGTTTCAACTCATCAGCATGGAACAATATATATCTCAAATGTTTGGTATATAACAGACTCAAAGATGATAAATTAAGTGAATTTGCTGCCTTTTATCTGTAAGTACATGTTGCAACAATTCTTTTCTTTTGCTAAAATCTTTATACATAATTTTGCAGAAACTGAAGTCCAGCTTGAAATACCCGGATGACAGGTTGACAGTCTGGAAGGACCCTTCCAGATATCCGAAGTGATTGGCAGACAGCGATGAGGAGAGTCCTGTTATTTCAACGGGAGCCTACCGAGAAGTTATATGCCAATTGACACTGGGACACACTCACAAAGGGTGGTCAGGCTAATGTGAGAAGACCAACCAATGCCAAGTCGGAGTGGGACCCTTCAAGGACGTTGAAGAAATTATTGTCTTTGGCCATGTGGTAATCACTTGAAAGGAATGATGTTTGCGACTACTTGTCTATAAATGTGGACCCAAACACCAAATAGAATGTTCACAATTCTACTAACACAATGCAACAGGGATAGAGCCCATCTGGCCTCCCCTCATCCTGGTTCCTGTTTTTCCATGGCAATATAGAAGGAAAAGGATGTTTGAGGGCAAGTAACTCTGAACTGGTGAGCATGGTCTGCTGATGCTTTCAAGCGAACAGTTATCCCGCTCTGTTATGAGTATTGAAGAATAGGAGGAAAGTGCATACTGCATCAGGAACCATTATGTGAACACTGTTCAATGTGTGATATATGCATATAAATAAAAGAAATTGATAATTTGTTTGTTGTTTGTTTCTTTAGCCAGCTGTGTAAATGGGGATTTTCCAATATTTTGCATCAGTTTGATAGTCACAGTTATCGTATGAAACCATGCATTGCTTGGACATCTTTGGAATAACACATTGATCTGCTATGTCAAAGGTCAATGTCACAGCCAGACAAAACAATTGTTAATGGCCAAACTCTTCCTTAGGGCAGGGATAGAAGTTGGCAACAGGTCATACACTTACTTTTTATCCCCCCGGCATATAATACGGGGGATATAGCGATCAGCCTGTCTGTCCGTCTGTCCGTCCGTAATCATTTCCTTTTCCAGGGCAGGATTCCCAAACCATTCAGTGTATTTGATCGAAACTTGGCAACTCTTATCAGGCACATACTGAAGTGGTGCCTTTTGATATTTTGGGATTTTTCTAATTTTTATTTTTTTAAATTTTTATGGAATGAAGTTGGACATAGACTCAACTGAGGATGGGGTTCGTTTCCGGGGCAGAATTCGAAAACTATTCAGTGTATTTGATCGAAACTTGCCAAAGGTATCAGGCACATACTGAAGTGGTGCCTTTTGATATTTTGGGATTTTTCTAATTTTTATTTTTTATTTTTTTTATGGAATGACGTTGGACAGACTCAGTTGGGGATGGGGTTCGTTTCCGGGGCAGAATTCGAAAACCATTCAGTGTATTTGATCGAAACTTGGCAAAGCTATCATGCACATAATGAAGTGGTGCCTTTCAAATTTTGGGATTTTTCTAATTTTTATTTTTTATTTTTTTTATGGAATGAAGTTGGACATAGACTCAATTGGGCATGAGGTTCATTTCTGGGGCAGAATTAGAAAAACATTCAATGTATTTGATCGAAACTTGGCATTCATATGGATGCGACCATGGTGGATCTTTTGTGGGTAAACAATGTATGCTTCTTAAAGAACATTCAACTGTTGACTCATTACATACAGAATTGCAATAGTGGTTACTTTACAGACAGCTGCCGGGGAGATATGTCATCTTTCTGATGACTCTTGTTCTCTAATGTGCCTTTTCCTGCAGAAGTCTAAATAACTCTTATACATATAGTTGTATATCATTGTCATATGTTTGTCAATATTACACTGAATGAAGCACTTTACAATTGTTTTTGAAATAGTCGCAACTGATATTGAAGGTCAAATTAGCTTTCAATGTCTTTCAGTAAAAATGTTCACAGTAACTGAGGAACAGCTCTCTGTAGTGTGATGAAATCTGGTACATGTCACCCTCAGAGTGAGGCATATTGTGTTTCAAACTTAAATGAAGCTGGTATGCTCATAACAAGTACTTGTACCTTTACAAATAATCATATTATCATCTCACTAGGACCAAAGGCCCAAGTGAGCACACAGTCGATGAGTGGAAGTCTGAACATGAAATTTAGGGATATCATCATGCATGTATTAGAACTGATGTTTGTTCATTAAACAGCTTAACATCTAAAAAGAATTATAGATGAAATTGAAAAAAAAATTCTTCTCCAAAAGTACATGCCAATAGATCTCAACTTCAAGGGGATATTTACAACTAAAATGACACAGAATACTACTACAGCTATCTGATATGCCCAGGCTAACATTATTTACCAGAAATAAGACATCTCGAAATTGCATCCGGATACCTGCCGGATACCTTCAGCAATGTTCAATTTTCATGGTTAGTTTCCAATATATATTTAGGTGTTTCACACTTAATTGAACAAAATGCACCCCCCAAATTGTGACATGTTTTTGGAAACTCAGAATGAGGTATCCGGTGCCGGATCCTTGGTATTCGGTGCCGGATCCTTGGACACCCAGATTGAGGTATCCGGTGAGGTATCCGGTGCCGGATACCCGGATTCCAGGTGGCATACTTTCAGGTGAGGTGTCCATGCCGGATACCACGGATCTGGTATTTTTCTGGATATATTAGCTATTTGTTTGTTTATTGTAATCTTCAATCCTACCAATCCAGTTCGGAATCTTAAAATTCGCGGTCTGATTTAATCAATATGTATTTTAAAAATAGCGCCTACAGGGAAGGTGGTTAGTAAACACACAACTAAATATCTATATAGATACTTCTCCTATTAATTACATAAGCAGTATGCAAAATGTTAAATTGCATCATCAAATCAAGAAGTACATGTTTGATGTAAATTACAAATAATTCGTAGTTTGATAAGCTACACCCGGACAAGCGTATTTAATAGTTACTTTTGAATTCAATCGTTTTGTTTGTGTTATTAATAAACTGTAAAGATATGTTACTGTCATGGAAATTCCAACTGTATGCAGTCCCTTCTAACCAAAGCAGTAAGAAGCTTGCAACATTTGTTTTGATGCTCTACATCACCATGGCTTTCGCTGTTTCATTGCAACTGCTCAGATAGTATTTATACAAAGCGCCATAACAACATGTAGATTGTATTCTGAATACAACTTTCGCTCATTTTCAAGGACAGCACACACATTTGCATTTCAATACAGTGCACACTGTCTACCCCTTGATCCCGTTAATGAACGCTTTGACCAAAATTGATACTCCTGCTTATTTGTTTCGCTGCGTGTTTTTAAAATGCAAATTGAAATACAGCCAGCCAATTCCAGATATTATGGTACTTCAAATGGCCATCAAACCCTTTCGTGGCAGCCCAAATGATACATTCCCGTGAAACAATAACTCGGGTAAGTGACATTTTGTAGGAGATATCAAGCATAAAATCCCTCCTCTTATCATCATGTCCGGTTTCCTCAGGAACTTAATACACATTTCAGTAGTTGATATCTTAGCTTGAAGTAAAACGCAATATCATTTAAGTGCTTGGATATTGGTCTACAACACGTACTATGTCCAGAGTTTACAATATGGAGAAACATAGATCACTCTTCCATTGTGAACATTCAATTCAGTTTTCAGATTCTCAAACAAATTTCAAGGCGTAAATAAATATGACAAGATTTTATTGAACCAATTCCATTGGTTTGAGAATATACATAAATAGCCAGCATCTGACTGCAGGTGATAATAACTCAATAATAGCCGATACCTGAAACAAAAAAATAGTAGAATAAAGTTGGGATATATGGATAAGTCACAACGAAGTCTTGAAACTAGCTGCATGATAAGCTAAACCAAATATTAGAGAAAGCAGAGAATAATTTTAAAGATGTTTTGTAAATGTCATCAGCTTTGTGGCGTAAAATAATAATACCACATAGGTAAATTATATAATTTTGCAAACGAGACTGAAAGTGGGATACGATAAACAAATGATATCATATTTTGTGAAATACCTTTTCCCAATCCCATTGCGTATCCTCCAATTCCGCCGTAGAGACCACCATAGCCTCCAAGTCCTCCGTACAGACCTCCCATGCCTCCGTATAGACCTCCCACGCCTTCGTATAGACCTCCCATGCCTCCGTATAGACCTCCCACGCCTCCGTATAGACCTCCCATGCCTCCGTACAGACCTCCATAGCCTCCGTACAGACCTCCAAGGCCTCCGTACAATCCACCCATTCCGTAGCCAATTCCGCCCAGTCCTCCTTTCAACCCGCCAATTCCACCATACAGACCGGTAGGCTCTGCAAAGGCGGTAACAGCCAGGCAGGCAACAAGAGCGGCGACTATCTTCATCATTTTGAGTATCTATTGAGTAACGTGAAAATCGTTGTCAAGAAAGGGAAATAGCATGTTATCGTTACTCATCTGGTAAATTCAGTTCACACCACTCATTGTGAATTATGTTATCAGTTTTACTTTCACCTGCATTCATATATTTCCCAATTTACAAGAAAGTTTTATGTTACATATTCGTACTTTTGTGAATTGGCTCAACATAAAGATTGAAAACAGCCAGATGCGCAGCAGATGAATCAAACATTAAAAGTATACATATATATCACAAGCAAACCTTAAAATAGTACTTACAGTTTGGTCTTGACTCGTATCTGTGTCTCAACGGCAGGTGAAGATAAGAGATGATGGAACAGTTTCCCCCATCCTTTATATATACCATTTGTGAATTATACGTGATTGATTTACCTTGGGCTGGCCACTTCCAGGTAAGTAACGCACCTCAGTTTAATGGTGTAAAGTAAGCATTCTTTTCGCATCAAAGGGCCCGAGGTTATCACCCTACGGGTACACATGCGAGCTGGTATACATGAACATCGATTAAGGAAGTACAAGACAACGTATATAAAGGTGGCAAACAGACACACTCTCTCTGGCATCGTCTAACTGCATTTCAAACAGTCCTAGATACTCAACGTTTAACCTATATCAAGTAAATATTCGATAACGGTCTGAAAAGTGTGTATCCAGTAAATATATGATGAGGGAGCAACGTACATCAGACATTATAATGCATCTGTGTGATACGACATAACAAGAGACCAGAAAACTGACGCAACACACTAGTACAGCCTTACCACAGTACAGCAGTAGCACTGTACCGCACGGGGTCAACTATGCTAACCGTTTCCGTGTAATACAGCAGCCTGCTCACAAGAAAATAGCTTCTGCTGAATATACTGCAGAAGTCCCCACATACTACATTATTCTCCCCGAATTTTATTTATCTTACTGCACAATAACAATAAACTACAACAGCTTTATTTCCTAACTGATAGGTACATATATTGGTTTCTTCTCACAAAGGGACTGTCACTATGAATACTCACAACACCTGTTTATGCGTGTAATATCTGTTAAAAGCCTAAAGTACACCAATGTCTTCTGAAAACATGATTGACATATGAACAACAGCTTGTTTACTCGCTTCTTTGTTGACTTGTCTTTGTATGTGTTTGTGACGGAGGAACCGTTGGGGCAGGATACGCTTACTTTTTGGCAACCGCCAGGTAACATCACTATCTGGTAGTCATTCATACGCACATGCGTGTGATCATTAAAGTCGAAATCGTACAATGGTCTCTGCTTCGAGCAGAGGTTTCGAATGATTCTGAAAAGGGTTATGTGGCTTTTATTTGCAACTGCGTTTCTTGAGAGAACTCTCTTATTTTCAACATATCATCTTGATAATTGTACACTTCATTATCAAGGCATTTGTAATAATACGAGCATCACTAAATTTGTCATCTCAATTTCTATACATGACGCCTGAATATTGATATAATAATTATAGAATGATGACCCTTTAACTACATAAATTGTTCTAAAACATATACTGAATATCAGTGATGTCACCAGGTGTTAATGAATAGTTTATATTTGTATATATTTGTTAGGTGTTTCATGAGCTCCTCCGTCAGTTCCATCGTGTGCCAGATTGGGAGAATGTTGTCTTTTGACAATGTCTCAGCCATTCATACATTTGCATATATACTTAATCACTGTTGCAAATAACTCACTTTAACGTGTTTTAATCTTGGGGTGAGTCTTTGGTTCTAAACATTAGAAGAAAGAAGAAAGTATATAAATCGCCTCTACCCTTTACGTATGCCCTTGACATGATGAGGCATTAGTGACAGTGATAACTGTGTTCTTTTAAGGCGTGTTTAAACCAAAACTCATACCAAGAATAAAACACGCGCAAATCAGTTTGATAATGTGTAACTATATAAGGGTTTCCCAGAAAAACCGTACATCTAAAAGTAAAGACGTGTGTTTTAAGAAGAAAATGCTCTTAAAGTATAACACAAAGGTGTTTTCAAAGATAGACATGATCAAACGACTTGTTTTTACAGTCTGGTTGTTGTTATAAAGACTTATGACAAGCTTTAAAGTTGGACCATTTATTCCGCTGAATTTCACTCTCTACAGTTACCAAATGCAATCTCCTTTGTATTGATAAATGATTGTCACTTTTGCGTTGTAATCAAACAATAGGGATATATTAGCTATTTGTTTGTTTATTGTAATCTTCAATCCTACCAATCCAGTTCGGAATCTTAAAATTCGCGGTCTGATTTAATCAATATGTATTTTACAAATAGCGCCTACAGGGAAGGTGGTTAGTAAACACACAACTAAATATCTATATAGATACTTCTCCTATTAATTACATAAGCAGTATGCAAAATGTTAAATTGCATCATCAAATCAAGAAGTACATGTTTGATGGAAATTACAAATAATTCGTAGTTTGATAAGCTACACCCGGACAAGCGTATTTAATAGTTACTTTTGAATTCAATCGTTTTGTTTGTGTTATTAATAAACTGTAAAGATATGTTACTGTCATGGAAATTCCAAATGTATGCAGTCCCTTCTAACCAAAGCAGTAAGAAGCTTGCAACATTTGTTTTGATGCTCTACATCACCATGGCTTTCGCTGTTTCATTGTAGCAGCTCAGATAGTATTTATACAAAGCGCCATAACAACATGTAGATTGTATTCTGAATACAACTTTCGCTCATTTTCAAGGACAGCACACACATTTGCATTTCAATACAGTGCACACTGTCTACCCCTTGATCCCGTTAATGAACGCTTTGACCAAAATTGATACTCCTGCTTATTTGTTTCGCTGCGGTTTTTTTAAAATGCAAATTGAAATACAGCCAGCCAATTCCAGATATTATGGTACTTCAAATGGCCATCAAACCCTTTCGTGGCAGCCCAAATGATACATTCCCGTGAAACAATAACTCGGGTAAGTGACATTTTGTGGGAGATATATCAAGCATAAAATCCCTCCTCTTATCATCATGTCCGGTTTCCTCAGGAACATAATACACATTTCAGTAGTTGATATCTTAGCTTGAAGTAAAACGCAATATCATTTAAGTGCTTGGATATTGGTCTACAACACGTACTATGTCCAGAGTTTACAATATGGAGAAACATATATCACTCTTCCATTGTGAACATTCAATTCAGTTTTCAGATTCTCAAACAAATTTCAAGGCGTAAATAAATATGACAAGATTTTATTGAACCAATTCCATTGGTTTGAGAATATACATAAATAGCCAGCATCACACTGCAGGTGATAATAACTCAATAATAGCCGATACCTGAAACAAAAAAATAGTAGAATAAAGTTGGAATATATGGATAAGTCACAACGAAGTCTTGAAACTAGCTGCATGATAAGCTGAACCAAATATTAGAGAAAGCAGAGAATAATTTTAAAGATGTTTTGTAAATGTCATCAGCTTTGTCGCGTAAAATAATAATACCACATAGGTAAATTATATAATTTTGCAAACGAGACTGAAAGTGGGATACGATAAACAAATGATATCATATTTTGTGAAATACCTTTTCCCAATCCTATTCCGTATCCTCCAATTCCGCCGTAGAGACCACCATAGCCTCCAAGTCCTCCGTACAGACCTCCCATGCCTCCGTATAGACCTCCCATGCCTCCGTATAGACCTCCCACGCCTCCGTATAGACCTCCCATGCCTCCGTACAGACCTCCATAGCCTCCGTACAGACCTCCAAGGCCTCCGTACAATCCACCCATTCCGTAGCCAATTCCGCCCAGTCCTCCTTTCAACCCGCCAATTCCACCATACAGACCGGTAGGCTCTGCAAAGGCGGTAACAGCCAGGCAGGCAACAAGAGCGGCGACTATCTTCATCATTTTGAGTATCTATTGAGTAACGTGAAAATCGTTGTCAAGAAAGGGAAATAGCATGTTATCGTTACTCATCTGGTAAATTCAGTTCACACCACTCATTGTGAATTATGTTATCAGTTTTACTTTCACCTGCATTCATATATTTCCCAATTTACAAGAAAGTTTTATGTTACATATTCGTACTTTTGTGAATTGGCTCAACATAAAGATTGAAAACAGCCAGATGCGCAGCAGATGAATCAAACATTAAAAGTATACATATATATCACAAGCAAACCTTAAAATAGTACTTACAGTTTGGTCTTGACTCGTATCTGTGTCTCAACGGCAGGTGAAGATAAGAGATGATGGAACAGTTTCCCCCATCCTTTATATATACCATTTGTGAATTATACGTGATTGATTTACCTTGGGCTGGCCACTTCCAGGTAAGTAACGCACCTCAGTTTAATGGTGTAAAGTAAGCATTCTTTTCGCATCAAAGGGCCCGAGGTTATCACCCTACGGGTACACATGCGAGCTGGTATACATGAACATCGATTAAGGAAGTACAAGACAACGTATATAAAGGTGGCAAACAGACACACTCTCTCTGGCATCGTCTAACTGCATTTCAAACAGTCCTCGATACTCAACGTTTAACCTATATCAAGTAAATATTCGATAACGGTCTGAAAAGTGTGTATCCAGTAAATATATGATGAGGGAGCAACATACATCAGACATTATAATGCATCTGTGTGATACGACATAACAAGAGACCAGAAAACTGACGCAACACACTAGTACAGCCTCACCACAGTACAGCAGTAGCACTGTACCACACGGGGTCAATTATGCCAACCGTTTCCGTGTAATACAGCAGCCTGCTCACAAGAAAATAGCTTCTGCTGAATATACTGCAGAAGTCCCCACATACTACATTATTCTCCCCGAATTTTATTTATCTTACTGCACAATAACAATAAACTACAACAGCTTTATTTCCTAACTGATAGGTACATATATTGGTTTCTTCTCACAAAGGGACTGTCACTATGAATACTCACAACACCTGTTTATGCGTGTAATATCTGTTAAAAGCCTAAAGTACACCAATGTCTTCTGAAAACATGATTGACATATGAACAACAGCTTGTTTTCTCGTCTTTGTTGACTTGTCTTTGTATGTGTTTGTGACGGAGGAACCGTTGGGGCAGGATATGCTTACTTTTTGGCAACCGCCAGGTATCATCACTATCTGGTAGTCATTCATACGCACATGCATGTGATCATTAAAGTCGAAATCTTTCAATGGTCTCTGCTTCGAGCAGAGGTTTCGAATGATTCTGAAAAGGGTTATGTGGCTTTTATTTGCAACTGCGTTTCTTGAGAGAACTCTCTTATTTTCAACATATCATCTTGATAATTGTACACTTCATTATCAAGGCATTTGTAATAATACGAGCATCACTAAATTTATCTCAATTTCTATAGATAATGCCTGAATATTGATATAATAATTATAGAATGATGACCCTTTAACTAC